CTGATTTCCAAAGTAAACTTATGTCTGTTTTTCAACTCAGCGGAAAGATACATAAGGAAAAATAGTTTTCCGTTATTAAAGGTAAGGTTTTAATTATACTAGAGCAGACGATTAATCTCCTTTGAGGTTATAAAACCAGATCATCTTGAAGTAAGACATCCTTCCACATATGAAGTTCATGCCTTGCTTCTTCAGAACTGCACCTAGCAGAGAGTATTCTGCTTATGAAATGAAATGTATGCCTCCAAACAAAAACAGAGAGAGATTTTCAGCTATAGCGCAAATGTTGAAATCAAAGTTAGCTAGTGCATGATTATTTAGCCTCCCTCAAGTGCCTTTTTCTCTGTGGAAAATAAAATATATAAGTGAACATAATTTCAATTTTTGTTTTGTCATAGAAAAACTGATATATCAGCTCACTGGACTCTGTTATCTCAAATTCTGTTTCCAAGAATAATAAATACTGGATGCAACATAGTATAATATAAAACTCCACTAATGAATAATTACACAGAGATATGCACCTAAGGAAATTTCACATGTCAGTGGTAAAAGGTTTGTCAGGCACTGAAGTATGAGTCAGTTTTACTTGTCTGTGATGATCTCCGCTGACACAAATGTGAATAGTATTTTAATTATTCACCTAGGTGTCTAATCTCTGAATCTAACAAATCCACTGGCCTGACTGACCTCCACTTTGACAGCGAGTTCCAGAGTTTTAATTTTGCCTTGGATGATGTGTGACTGAAAACTTAAAAAGTGTCTCTTGAATTTTATTAGCAGTACCTTCTTTCTTATTAAATGAGAGGAAACAAATATGCTATGAGCTGTCACAGCCAAGTCCCACAAAGTACATATCTTACATGCAATTATGCCTGCATTACTCTGTTCAAGCTGAATGTATGTGAGCATTATGTATTGCAGGGAGGCATTATTTTCTTTAAGCAGCGTAACAGAAATTTTTGTTCTCACTTTTTTTTTTCTCCCACGACTATTGCTTAGCAAAAAAATGGTATACGGAGTTGTCCTCAGCTTCTTGAAACTGCTTTTTGAGAGCAGCCAAAGTTAATTTAGAAACCATGAATGTTCAAGCTGCTACTTCCACCCTGTTTCCTTGTAAATGCTGTAGTGTATTACCCAGATGCCTTTCCAAACAATGTATTTACAATTTTCCACAATGCCTTTTATTTTGTCTGAAGAGTTTCATCATCTTCATAGTTCATTCATTTATTACTACAAGTAGTATGAATGATTTTCTTAGTAGAAATGCTTGAGTCTTCCATAGCGGTGCCTTTCTTCTATGTTAAAAATTGATTATTTAATGAATTTCTGTTAATTTATCTCTCTATACTTGCTGAAAGGTATCTGAGAGTTTAGAGATAAAGTGTACTCTTTGGAAACTTATCTAGAGTACTTCCATTTCTTCTATAAATACCACAGATGATCTTCAGTTTTCAGAAAGTTTTCATCAATCTTGAATTGGCTTCCACCCTAAGGGAGATAGCTTTACAGTGTGTGTCTGACAATCCCAACACACCCATGGAATTTTGAGAGAAAAAAATACGTCCCCATTTCTACATAGGTGGGAGGTGCAAAGAATTTTAACTGCCTCAAGATATACCCTATTAAACTTGTATTTTGCAAGAAAAAAAAAGCAAAGAATGTTCCTTTGAGAAATAAACTCAGTCTTTTCAGTGAACCAGATGAACGTTGGAACCACTTCCCCTTACCTGTCAATTTGATTTGGAGTGAACTTTAATCAGGTTTCTAACATCCTCCTGCAATCTTAAATCTTGATCTTGTGATTTATTTTTTTTTTTTCCACTAATCTTCTAAGCTTTCAAAAAGTCTCCATCTGCTTGTTTATACAGAGACTTTCAGAAAAAACATTACAAATTAACTGAAGTAGTGACTACTTCAGTGACGCTGAAGGGCTTTAAATCAGTCTTCCTTTGGAAGACAGCTCAGTTAAATACATTAAAGACACTTCTGTTGTGAATGAGCGTGTCCACATCATGGTTCAATACTGTTTAAATTACCCACTTAAGAAGTTTAATTTGGATCAAGTTTCCTCAGTGTTTCTGCGGGCACTGTCCCTCTCCCTGTTGTACCCCACATATTACATCAGCCCGCATCATACATGAGCCCACTGTGCCACCCCTGTGTAGTTCACAGCTGATATTTCTTGGCTCAAGTGAGATGTAAAGTAACTAAGAGTATAACCAGTTATTGCCAGTACATGAAGCCAGGCTGCCATCATCGCCATTACTGCAGCAGTATGCATAGTCTCAAGCAGAAATCAGAGTCCTATTATAATAGAGACTAAATGAAAACAAATTAGCTGGCTCTTGTACAGTGAGCAGAGTATTAACAGCTGCTAGCTAGGCTGGGCTGGCAGTGAGCTGCAGGAATATTGGCGCTCCCATGGTCTAGACTGGGAGAGCCAGGCCTCTGACTTGCCTGCAAGAAAAAAATGTGACAATTTCTAATCTATGCTAGATCAAGTGGCCAAATCAGCTGCAGCTTGTGTGACCAGCAGCATTCAGAGTAATGCTAGCGGCCCAATCTGAATGCTTTTATTCATGGAAATATGCTTACAAGAAAGCCACACTGTGCTGCTTTGCAGTCTACATCTGGTTAAGATATACTTTCCTTCCTAGTTAAATGCTCTGGGAATTACCTGAGGCTTATTGCCTTTTTGATCTCTTTCAAAATTCAGTGAAGTCTAATATGGCTTATAAATGATTTTCTTGCCCTCCATTCATTGATTTTTCTCTCCTTGGGGAAAAACAGAAAACCCTACAAAGTGGAGAGAGATAGTTCATTGCTTTTTTTTCTCGTATGTTTTACCAGTTGAAGACCAAAAATATGAAGTAAAATGCAGGTTCTTCTATTTGAATGCAATCTCAAAGGTTGAAGATGTCAAACCAGAGCATAGCTTCAAGGTTTTGAATAGACTGGTATCTTTTCTTTAAGAAAAATGCTACCTATGGGCTTGATTGGTTCAATAAGTAGTTTGAATTAAACTATCAGCTTTGTAAAAGGAGCAGCATAATGTACAGAAGCATTTAGTGATGAAAGAGAGGTAAGGCTCAGGCAACATAGAAAATATTTTCTAGGAAATGCATATTCACCTGAGGTGTGTCAGCAAGACCATAGTGGGTAGAGCCCCTTATTCACACCTGAATTAATGAGCTTGACAATGTAAAAAACCATAGTAAATTTTTTACTGTGTTTTTTTAATACTTGTATGTTCAGTTGTTGCACATAGTAAAAGATTTTGCTTTAAATATTCTAATGGAACCAAGGCACACGAAAGATCTTTATTCAGCATGGGCAGCTTTATAAATATGTGAAAGCTGAAATCACTGAACCCTTTCCAGTTATTTAATTATTACTAGGAAGAGGAACATTTTCTTTTTTTCCATTTGGTTTTGACCTACTCATTCCAATTGTACTTTAAAAAAAAAAAAAGAAAAAAGTAAAAAAAGAAAACAGGCAATCTTAGAGAATACCAAGTTATGAATACCAGTGTCTTAATAAAGCAGAAAGGGACAAGGGCAAAGACAAGGAGATAATAGAGAAACTTCTGAGTTGTAATTCTTTGTCAAGTAAATTAAAATCCCCTACTTTTCTTTTATTAAAACCTAATCTGTCTGGAACTGCTTTTCATTTGCCATTGGCTAAAAGAGTACACACTGGGAATGCATGCAGTGCACTCACGATCAGCTGACATATGGCAGCTTCATGCCCAGAAGTAATTTGTTCATGTGTTTGAGACATCTGATACAAACACGAGGTATTTATGTACCAGAATGAAAAAAAAATTATATACACACATATATACACACACACACACACACATATATATATATATATATACATATATTCAGTCTTTTTTCCCTAGCTTCTTGAGACAAAATAATCACTTTTAGAAGTTCAGAGTTGGGTAATATATACTGATATCACCATAATGAAGCAAAAGTTTCTTAAAACCTAGTAGGATTTTATATTACTGGTCTTGACTGTCACACTTTAGCATGATAAGGAGAGCTACTGTCAATATAGACTTCTTTTATACCTATCTCAAGTCACGATCTGTCTGCCAAAACAAGGCATGAAAGTAGCCTCATGTATTATTATATCCAGCTTTCCTTGGAAATTATACTTTAGTTGATCTGCACTGTTTAAAGTGTCCATTTTGCAAAAGGGAAACCCTGGGGCAGCATCGTTAATATCAACACTATCCCTGGGTAATGCAGAATGAATTTGTGTTGGGACAAAACAGCTGCAACAAAGGCTGTGTTGAATTGTACTGAATGTTTCTGTTCTTAATCAAACAAACCTGTAATCTATACAAACTTTGGTTTTCCTATCTAATATTGTAGTTTAAAAACAGTCTTTGTTGTTTTCCCTATTTAGTGGTTAATGCAGTTGGTATGATTGCCTCAATCTCATTGCAAAGAGTAATATTTTCATTGGTCACCATTTGTTCAGTGTTTAGATTGTCTTGTATTTTAAGAATTGCTATAAATTTAAAATAGCTTGTGCACTTCTTATGCCTCAGAAATCTACCTGAGCATTTAATACTAATTAGCATTAACAATGACTCATTATATCCAAACACTGCACAGGTATTCAATTTTCAACTGGAGATTTATGAATGACAAACAGTTCTGTGTCAACCACTTGGTGACTGAAATGAGTTTTATAATAGAAATTGACATATAGCTCATTGATTTAATTGGAGGTTCAGGAGCTTTCTTGCAAGCTGACTTATTTAAACAGATGAGACAGTGACAGAGGCTTGGTTCAGACCCTACTTAATGCAAATTATACCAGAATATAATCAGAATAATAAAAGTGTTGGAATCAGAGTGGTCAACATTGAGATATATCGTAAGTGGATGGTAACCTGGTAATAACCTTTGTTTATTTTTGACTGCTTCTGTTGATGAGTTTTGGAATGATTTATCTTACCCTTGTCATTTTTCCCACAGAGCCGCTCAGAAATTGAACCTGTCCTCCAAAAAGAAGAAGCACAGGCCTTCTGCATCATCTGTTCCTGAGTCTCCTCTCTTCACTACCAGCTTCAGCAGTATCCTTCAGGCTTCCCCACCCCCTGCACCACCTTGTTTGTTGAGAGCAGTCAGCAAAGTGAAAGACACCCCTGGTGTGGGCAAGGTAGGCATCTCAAAACTCTTATTATCTATGGGAGATAATTTTCCTTTCTTCGGGTAAAACATCCAGTGAATTAGAGGAGCTTGTCCTTTCTTGCATGAAGTATACAATTGGTCCCTGCATAGGGACAAAGAACTGGCAATATTAATTACTTAAATGCGTGAGCTTGTGATTGGGTTGAAGTTGTCTTGAACACAGGCAGCCCTAATTGTGCAGCAGTAAATTTTGAGCTCCTAGTTACACAAAGTGCAGTTGCACTGGAGCCTCTATGTTACCTAGTGGTGATGATGTCCATTCTGTTAGCGTTTGTGGTGTGGGTTGGTCCCTGTGGCTGTGTTTTAACTGTGTAGAAGGTGCTTGCCATGGCATATTCTAGATTCCTTATGCTCTTGTTGTTCAGGCTGGTATCTTGACTGAATAACTGTAATTTACTTCTGACTCATGTTTGACTCATCACTGGCTTTCTTCCAATATAGTCAGGACAAGGCTTGATCACATACCTGAACAAAGCCTATGCTAATAATGATTAATTACTCCTTTTTTCCTTCTGTCATTTTACTTCCTTCCATTGTCTAGGATTGTGTCCTCTTAAGATATTGTTTAGGTGCATACTTGTGATGGAAAATGGTTGAAGCAATGGAGAAGGTGCCTATATATTTTGCTATTACTATCTAATTTGTCTGAATGGCCTTTATTCCCTGTCACAAATGGAGAGCTTGGTGCATTACATCTGGGAATGAGTGCGTATAGTTGCTGAGGACAGCAGTTTTTTTAATCAAGGGATTTTCTTATGCAAGCATCTGTGTACATGGCTTTTCCATATTCATTGGATACAAAGCAGAGACAATGAGTTTGTTGCGAATCTTTTTGTTTAGAAGAGAAACTGTAATGCATAATTTAGGAGTACTGAGCATAGGATGTGCTTCAGCATTTCTGTTGCTGATTTTGGACGTGAACTTTGGGAAATTGCACGGTTCTCATTTTTCATAGAACAGTGGTATTACTTCTATAGCTGCTCTGTGCCCATTTGAAAAGAGTATATAGGGTTCCCTTCCTGCAGGTTCCCTTTCTTTCCTCTGGCCTGCACAAAAGTACGTATCTGTCACAATGTGATAAAAATAGTGATGGCTACTCTGATTTCAGCGGGAAGAGGAATAAGCTTGGACCTGTTGGTGTAAGAACCTGCAAAGGAAAATAGTTACAACAGAACATCTCCTCTGAGAATTCTTAAATTTCTGTGCTTGAGTCTTGCAATATCTGAATACAAATAAAATTTCGATTGAACAATCATGGAGGATATATTCAGCAAAACAAGGGACTAATTTTCCTTGTTGAAAAGCATGGATACGTTTCCAGTGGGTTTTCACCCTTCCTGAGAAAAGGGTTTATATTCCTGCACACATGGAAATTTGTGGAAGGACTATAAGCTTATCCTGGACTTTTCTTGCTCCTCTTATCTTTGATTTCTAGCAAACAAGTCTTAGAAACCAGTTTTACAGTATGCCCAATTTGTTCCTCCACCAACACTATATGTCAGAACAGGGTCCAGGCTTTTCAGATGTATAAGTAAAACAGAAATTTTGCATTCCAGCAAAAGAAAGAGCTAAAAAAGTATTTAAGAAATAGTTAAGAGTTTAAAAAAATGTTTTAACACAATCTTATCCAAAGTAGGAAACCAAATTGGATTAGTTCATGTAACCATAATAGAGGAAGTTCCTTCTTTCACAGAATCACAGAATTGTAGGGATTGGAAGGGACCTCTAGAGATCAGCAAGTCCAACTCCAAAATTTCCTCACAGTGTTCTCATTAGCAATAGTATGTCTAGCCTGCAGTTTAAGTTCTGTTCCATTTTTTACCTCTCTGATTTCTTCTAGTAATCCTGTATTTATGTAATTCTGTAATTATGATCTAAAGTTCATATAGTTTCATCAGTTCCCCATCATACGTAGCATAATTTACATTTTAATATGTCTGAGTTAGGTGTAAAACTTAGTAAGTGAGTAACTGCTGGATAACAATGTAACATAACTGTCTGAATGGGAAAGCTTCAGATGAAGCAGTGGAATTCTTGGCTTGTTTGCTTTTAATTGCTTTAAATTTTTGTTGTTTGTTATGTATCTTATGTTCAACTTGGGCATATGTTTTGATATGAATGGGCAAAAATCTGTTAATTTTCTCAGCAATTCCTTTCATATAATGTTTTCTCTAAGTTTATAAGTCTGTCATTTGTGGACCCATGAGGAAGAACTGGGTTTAGGAAAGCTAATATTTATTTTCATTAACTTTTTTTTTTTTTTTTTTTTTTAATTTCTATTGAAATAACCTGTTACCAACAGTCCCAGTGTGATAAAATTCCGGTTCACTTTGGGTTTGAACGAACTGGGAATTCTCTAGCAGGAAAGTTTGTTACTGGAAATCCTGGCTCAACAGAGTTGGAAGGCTAGGACTTGCCAAAGTCCTATGTTTCCAATGTTCCCAGGAATGCCAGCATTCAACAAAGAACCCCTGAACTGGCTTCCATGAAGGCAGGGTCTTAGCTGTGGGGCAGGGACCCCAGCACAGAAGTGATATGTTACTGACTTGCCGTCAGCTTGAGACCTCTCTGTTTGCCAGGGTTGGTGGATATCAAAGAAGCTGCACAACAGAAAGTTGGGAACTTTGAAGCATAGATCTTCTATTAGTACAATTTACAAAGATTCTACTCTTGTTTCAAAATTGATGACAACGATTCACATAAAGTTCTAAAGTTGCTTAGGAATGGATCAACTGTCTTGTACAGACATTTTTTTGAGCGGGAAGATTCTACTATCAACAAAATTTTTAAAAGGTAATTAGCCAGCTCAGTTAGTATGGATAAGGATAAAACTGGAAAGTCTGAAGTGGCAAAGAGAATACAAGGGCAGCTCTGAAAGTAATGTCTACTGTTTTATTATGTTGGTACACGATGTCAGAGGCAGATGTTGGTGGTATGACAGTAGGTTTTGAACCTTTTACCAGTATTCCATTACGTGTTGTTGCTGTGTGACAAAGGGCAGCAGAGGGGCAGTCTGACAGAATGGCGTCTGACATAGAAGTGCAAATGACGCAAAGGTGTGTCATTGAATTCCTCCACGGGAGAAAAAAATGGTACCCAGTGACATTTATCAACACTTGCTGAATGTTTCTGGAGCTCAAACAGTGGAAGTGAGCACAATGAGGTGGTAGGTTGTGCATTTCAGCAGTGGTGACTGTGGTCAGTTCTGCAAGTGCAGGTTTTTACAAGTATAGTATACGGGCTTTTGTTATTTGCTGGCGGAAATGCATAGGGAATGCTAGCATTCAGCTTTGCAAGAGGAGGAGGATGAAATAATGAAAATCGGCATCTCACTTTGATGTTAGATACACCTTTGACCCTAGTGGAAATACAGCATTGTCAAAGCAAAGTAGTAAAGGATCTAATTTCCAGAATCTCTCCCCAAAGTAAACATTTGTGACCATATTGCAAATAAATTAGCAGTGGTGCTTGTACAAGTTGTGACATACACATTTGCTTTGGCTTTGCATTTCCTGGCAAAGGGAGCTGATCCCCAGGGAAGCAGTCTGTTGTTCCTTACAGGTTTTTTTTTCATAGCTCTGTTTTCTTTTGGGCTGAATGACGCTCCTGCTCTGTAAGCTACCACAGCCTAAGCATCACTTTTTCTTCTCTCTATGCTGCCTTTGAGTTATTGAATTCTGAGCTATTGTGTAAAGGAGAGTGGCAGATTGCTTTTGCTGGACTTAGACAGAGTGGCACTATTCTGGATGACTGTACATGCTATTTCCCCAAGTCCCCTCATTTTCTAGAACATACTCAAGCCTGTTTTGTTCTTTCTGACAATGGGCCAAGAAATAGAGGGGAGAAAAAGCAGGCTTTCCATGCAGGAAAAACAAATTATTCCATGACTCAAGTTTCCTTGGATTTGCTCCCCAAGCTGCTTCCCTCTTTCTCCCAACCCCCATGTTATGTTAAACAAAAAGTAAACTAAACCAGATTTTTTTTTTAATGAAAACCTGAAATGTTCTTTCTGTCTGAAACCATGTTTTGCTGACTCTCCCATTCCCTGTAAAAAATAGCTCAAATGAAGAATTTTGCTGCCAGCCTTAGTAAATGGGTTATTTTCAGGTGGCACAGAGTTTAGGATGAATGGATGTGGTCTCTGTGCTTTCTTTCATTTATTATTTTCCTATGCATACTATTACGGAACTCTGCCACTGAAAGGTATTTGATATGTTTGGGCAGAGAATAACTGAACTTCAGTTACATATTATTCTTCTCTGTGAATTACTTGTTGGTGCTTGTTAATCAGAAAATAAAACAGCAATGTTTGCCCATAAAAATCACCCCTCTGCAATGGATGTTAGGGGGAGAAGCAAGTCATCACTGAGGTTTCTTTGGCAAGTCACTTCCAACCTATTAGCAAAATGGACTGAAATTTGCAATACTGTGTTTACTTCTTATTTTTCTGTAGCAATGGGATTCATTTTTAAAGAGCCTAGTCCCATTGTGCTAGGTAATGTATAAATTCAGACAGGAAAAAACAAACAAACAAAGCCAATTGTGAAAAAAGAGTTTCTGCAGGGAGGCAGACCAGACAGACAGAGACGGAAGGCAAGAAGAAACAAAGAGATATTATTGTTCATCTTCATAGTGGTGTCCTCAACCCGTCAATAGTCTAATATTAGATACCTCTTGCTGAGTTTTGGTTGGCATTGTAGAAGAGAGATGATTAAATCCTTTGAAAAGGGGTAACAGGTTACACTGCAGATACTTCTGAGGAGCTGTTTCTGAGTGAGTAGGGCAGGGTAGAAGGCAGCACAGACAGAGCTGTTTTGATAATCTACTGAGTGAGAGATGCAGGAGCCATTGTTATGGCAGGGACTAGCATGGAGCCCGTCCTATCTAGGAAGGGCCGTGAGTGGGAGGTGAACAGCAACTGTGGCCAAATGCCAGGGATGCTTGCAAAATGCTGACAGGTGAGCTGGC